TCTGAGGAAAAAAAAGTTTTAACCTCATATACTCATAACAAAATGGCACCATTTTAAGGTTATATTTTTTTAAGATTTGTGTGACCCAACCTGATCGCACGACTCAACTACCCACACTTTCTGTTAAGTCAACTAAGCTTTAAAGCCTAGTTTTGAGTCATACACTCCAAAGCTATTTTTTGTGCCTAAAGCTAAGCCGCCTCTTCAGCCCTCATGTTGAGTCATCCTTTTTATTTTCTTGGTTTTTTTGTTTATTTTATTTTATTTATTTAACTTCTATGTTATTTTATAATTGATTTTAATTGTTATTTTTCAATTTAGTTAATGTTATTTTTTAATTAATTTATTTATTTTTATATATTTTATTTGTCTCAATTGATATTTAAAAAAAATTTAAAATAAATCCATAAATCCTACCAAATGATTGGATGATTTTTTTATGGATTTAAGAATTTTTAAATTATGATTACTACCAAACAATTGGAGAAATTTATAACAAATTTTTTTATCAAAAATACAAATAAAATTATTTTCAATCCTATCTAATGATTGGAGGATTTTAATTTTTTTTTTTATGAATTTTACCAAATAATTGGAGAATTTCATAATGAATTTTAAGAAAAATAATTTTTTTTATTTTTAAATCATACCAAACGATTAGGGGATTCAAATTTTTATTAAATCTTACTAAATTATTAGAAGATTTAATAAATTTGTTTTTAAAAACAATTTCATAAAAAAATTTTCAACAAAAATCCTACTAAATGATTGTGGGGTATGCATCAATGTAAAATCTTATCAAATGATTGAAAGATTTTATTAATTGATTTTAAAAAATGATTTCTTAGAAAATATATTAATGAATATGATGACGAAGCCTCTTCAGAATGAGACATGAGTCTTCATAAATACTTCTGAGGTGAAAAAATTATCTTAAATTTTTGCTAAGTAATTGGAGTTATTTTAAGAATAATTTCCAATATTAAATTTACTAGGTAAATTACAAATATATTTTAAAGTTTGGATAATATGAAATCAAACTAGTATCATAATTTGATGGGCGTTGTAAGGGTGTTATAACATTTCTCACATGTAATTATACTCTCGGATCTAGTCTTGCTTTCATAGATATGGATCTACCTTTTAAAGAGACCTGAGTTTTTTTTTTTTTATAGCCCTTAAACCCAAGAACTTAAAGAGATAGATGACATGTGCATCTAAATAGGGATAGATTCATTTAGGTGGCTAATTGCATCTTAATAACAAAGATTAATGGTGACTCCTAAAGTCAAGTTGAACTATAGGTCTATGGATTAATACGTTATGACATACACTATTATACTAACAACAAAAAACTGTCATGTTGGGATCCCTTTTTCTTGCAGGAAATAGTTCTAACCTAACTGAACAAAAAGAAATAATCGACCAGAGACCTAAAATCGATGACAATAGAAAAAATCGATAGAAAACCTCATCTTTATACCATTTTGAGAGAATAATACTAGAAAATGTATGTAAATTAAGGTCAAGTTTGACCATAAGGACTAACTAATTCAGTTATTAAAAAACAACGTCGATTTGTTTATATGGACACCATCAGATATTCTAGGGATCGATCTTGAGGTGATGGTCCATAGGTCATAAATCAATCTAAACATGAAGTTAGTTCAATAAAAAAAAAAAAGACCTTTGCCTTTAAGAAGAAAAAGGCTATTGAGGAAAATGTCGATAAACTGTTATAAGCAGGCTTCATTAGAGAAATATGTTATCCTGATTGGATAGCTAACGTGGTCATGGTAAAAAAAGTATAATGAAAAATAAAAAAAATGTGCATCAATTTTATCAACCTAAACAGAACTTTTTCAAAAAATAACTTTTCTCTTTTTAGTATAGATTGGCTAGTTGATGATAATGACGAGCACGGCTTGCTCAGTTTCAATTGATGCCTACTTAGGCTATAATCAAATTAAAATGCTAAAAGAGGATGAGAAAAAAATAGCCTTCATAATAGAAAAAATTTTGTACTATTACAAGGACATGCCATTTTGCTTGAAGAACGCAGGAGCAACCTAACAAGGATTAGCTAATAAGGTTTTTAACTACTAGATTGGTCGAAACGTGGAAATATATATATATTACATGATAGTGAAGAGCAAAAGCCCAATCGAATACTTGAAAGACTTGGAAGAGACCTTTAACACCTTGAGGAAATACATTATTAGACTCAACCTAAGCAAATGGGCTTTTGGTGTCACATTGGGTAAGTTCCTCGACTATATGATCAATAAAAGAGGCATAGAGGCAAATCTAAAAAAGGTTTAGGCGATCCTCGACATGTAAGTACTGACCTTCATGAAAAAAGTGCAAAGATTAACTAAAAGAATAGTTGTCTTGAGCAAATTCATATCCAGGTCAGAAGAATAATGCCTATCATTTTTCAAAATCTTTAGGAACATCTCAGATTTTAGATGGACACCTTAGTGTCAAAGAGCATTTGAAGAGTTTAAAGAGTTTCTTTTTTCATCCCATTATCTTTAAACGGAGAGTCGTGAAATACTATATTTTACCTGACTACAACCTACTAGGCCATCAACTTAGTATTAGTAAGAGAAGAAGAAAAAAGGTTAGACGAAGGAGTCGAATTGACCCTTGGCACTGGGACAGAAGGATCTTGAGGTCAAAATCCATCAAGTCAAAAGCTCATCCATTTTATTGTGAGACTACTCCCTCACTTCATAAAGATCCACTCCCCTTTGGCGCAAACACTTTCCTTCAGCCTTTTCTGATCTTTTTTTAACATAGGGTTTACCCAAAACGTCACTTTGCTATAGTTTTTTCCCATAATGACAGAAGGGACTTTGTTAGCTTCTTCTCCACTATTGAGCTAACCTTCTATTGAAACCATCTTGTAACTTTCAAGCTCTTAAAACTTTCATTAGAAGACATAAAGGAAAAAAAAAATAGAAAACATACTAAGGAAAAAAAAGGAAAGAATATAGGATTGAAAGAAAATAAAGTCTTTAAGGTTGGTAAAGACAAATCAGTTTGAGAGCAAAAACATAAAAAGGTAAAAAATGAATAGCCCAAGAGGCCTTTTTTATAGCCAACATTGAGATCAGATGAATGCTCCAGATTGTGCACATGTCTAGATGATTACTGAGAATGATTTTTCAAATTCTTAGCTTTAGGGTTTTATTGCCTAAATACCTCTCTTTTCATTAAATGTGATTTTCAAACATCAGAAGGATAAATGGTTAATTCCACCAATTTAAACCAATCAAACCGATCACAAAACTCAAGCTAGACTTGCCAAACAAGCCAATTACAAGGTCAACCCTGTATTAAACCTAAAAATCAAACTCCAACACCAAGAAAAAGTATAAGTCTCATATCAATATGCACTATATTAGACACAAAAATCATATCGGTAGTTACTCATAAGATTGCTTAGCCCTACTTCGATTCACTTAAACACAAGGTCACTCACTTCGGCGACCCCAGAACGGACCAATCAAACTTATATCCAAAACCCATGCTCAAGATCAAGCACAGCATGTTTGATCACATATCAAGTCGACAAACTCAAGATCGACAAAGTTCACACTCTATAGTTTGATACTCAAACTATTTAATGGGAGACAGAATATTAGGGAATTTTCAAGTCCAAAAGATAAATTGGTCATTTCCATGATTAGAGACAGTCAGTAGACAAGCTAGGTGCATTTTGGATACAATGCCATATCAGCTTGGCTATGTCACTATTGTGCCTAACATATCTTTTACCTTCCGTCTATAAATAGAGTTATTCAAGTACTATCTAGTCATCTTACTTTCTTCTATTTTCCATATTTTCTATTATTTTTTCGACCTTTTACCTTTGACCTCTCATTTAAAATTTAGTATGTAAATGCAAAAAATATTCTCTACCTTTACCCGTAATTGTTCTCTTTATCTTATGTGATTTGAGGGTTTTCACCCACAACTCCGAAACTCGTCACTAACACACTCAAACCGCAATCTAGTTCAGACAACGCCTGAGTTGAACATCAACAAACCTTTTTGTTTCTTGTGTTTTAAACTACAAAGCCACCCCTTAAAATTTTAGGGAGAAAAAAAAGGTATCTCTGCTGTTTATTCTTGCATCTGAAGTCTGAAATGGGACGTGGGGACCTAAACCTGAGCATTTTCGTGCGTGCTTCTCTCTCACAGTGCTCATCTTAGATTCCTAGTTAACAATCAACTGATTTTAAAGTAATAAAATATTAGTAGGTATGATGAAGAATCCAAATCTGGGTGTGCAATTATTAGAGAATCATACATGTTTGGGAAAAAGGGGCGTTTTCCTGTGTGTCTTGCTACATGCTTCTGCCCACCCACAAGCAAATTCCTGTTATTCCAAATTCATTACCTTTTTTTCTTTTATTCTTTTATTCTTTATCCTGAGAGTTGTTCGAATTATAAAAATACACTATTAATATATTAATTTTTATTTAATTTAATTATTTTGTCCAAATGATCAATAGCAGAGAGACCAGAACGAAGGTGGGAAAATAGGCTTCATGTTGTTGACTAAAACATTGATCAAAATCCAACGATGACAGATATCACAAGATGCATGCAACAAACAAATTCTAAAAACATACAATCGCATGGCAAAACAACAACTTTTAACGTAAATCCAACGGTGAAGACAATGTTCTTAAGACGAGTAGGAAAAGGTTGACATGACTAATCATTGAGAATCAAGAGGAAAAGCCTATTCAATGACATCCAATGGCTCACAAACACAACTATCAAGTTTGATTATTAAATTAGACCTCTCTTTAAACCCTTAATTTTTCTTTGAATTTTATGCAAGTTTTTAATTTTTAAGGCGTTTTTGGCTTATGGGTTAATTAAAACAAATGTAAAAATGAACATGTTAATAGCTACTAGTTTGTACTATAATATTGTCGCGTTCACATGGTTGTTTGTTGGGGAAAACAGACAAAAGAAGCTAAAACGCGTCAACTGTCTGCGAGATTTGGTTGGCTGAGGTCTAAAAAGAGCTACTCATAAAAGAAGAAAGAAGAAAGAAAGGAAGCAAATCCAATTATTCCAACGGCCGAAGCATTTTTACCTTACTTTTTGGTTTTGCTGATCTTTTCTAAATTCTCAACTTCATCCTATGCCAAACACACCTTCCAAAAAGTGAAAAAAAAAAAAAAAAAGGGAGCACAAAAGAGATCATATCCAAAATCTTGCTGCCCAATTACACCTACTCCTCTGCTTTGATCTTTCTGAATAGGCAAGTTGAGGTTTTTTTTTCGTTTTTGGTTTGTCTTTCTTTGTGGGAAGTTTGGCCTTGTAAGGGGAAAAAAAAGAAAAACAAAAAGATTAAAACAAAAATCTGGGTTTTATTCTGTTTTGATGGGAGCTTGCTGGAGCAATCGGATCAAGTCTGTCAGTTCTACTACAGGTGAGATGAATGTTGTTTGGTTCTCGATTTTGCTTTATTTTGCTTAAAGCTTTGAATTTTTTGTTTTTGTTGATTAAAAATGAACTTGCATGCCTTGTTTCTTATTTTGAAATCAATGAAAAGGACTTGATTTCTATTTAGTTTTGAGTGTGTCGTTTTGTTTTTAATCAAAATTTGATGATCACAAGCTCAAATTGTAATATAGATCCTGTCCGGAGCTTTAAAAGTGTGAGTTTTTGTTGAGACAACTTTATATTATCTTATAGAATGTGAAAGTTACTATTATTTACAGGAGTTAATTCGAGGAGTGCGAGCAGAAAAGGAAACAATTTGAGTGTTTCAAGCAGCAGGATTTCTTCAGCTTCTATACCACAAACTCCCCGGAGTGAGGGTGAGATTTTGCAGTCTTCAAATTTAAAGACTTTCACTTTCAGTGAGCTCAGGACAGCCACCAGAAACTTCCGGCCAGACAGTGTGCTAGGAGAAGGTGGATTTGGTTCTGTCTTCAAAGGATGGATTGATGAGCATTCACTTACAGCTACCAAGCCTGGTACTGGCATGGTTATTGCTGTTAAGAGGCTGAACCAAGAAGGGTTCCAGGGTCACAAGGAATGGCTGGTTGGTGATTTCTTTTTTACTTTCTAAAATTGTATAAGTTAGTATTTCAGTTTCATTTTTATTTTTTGGAGGGCGGGTGGGATTGGCAGATATTGCATCTGTTGCTACTTGGTATTAGGTTATGGTGGCTAACTCCTTGAGTACTAAGAGAAGTTGGTCTTACATGGATGCATTTGTGAGTTGGTTACTGTCAATATGACAAATATGATTGTATTAGCACAAGAAACCCGTCCAGTTAGTTAGGTTGTAATAATTTTAAATTTGGTGACAGATGATGTGGGAAATGCATTTTTTTTGTGAAGGCTGTGTTTTCAGGCATTCTCTTATGAGAGAATAATTGATTTCTTTTATATTTTGGTATACAGGCTGAAATCAACTATCTTGGACAATTGCATCAAGCTAATCTTGTAAAGTTGATTGGTTATTGCTTAGAGGATGAGCATCGGCTTCTTGTATACGAGTTCATGGCTCGGGGTAGCATGGAGAATCATTTATTCAGGAGTGAGTTCCTTATATTGTTGAAACATTCATATCTATGAAGTGAAGCATATGTTTCCATCCACTGTTGCCTAATTTGATTTTGAAACAGGGGGGTCGCACTTCCCACCACTTTCTTGGGGCATCCGGATGAAGGTTGCACTTGGTGCTGCCAAAGGGCTTGCTTTTCTTCACAGTGCCAAGACACAAGTCATATATCGTGACTTTAAAACGTCTAATATCTTACTTGATTCGGTACATAACTTAGCTAAAGCTTCCCTTTACATTTCAGTATCATGGTGAAAATATTGGAATTTTATCCATTCTACTCATGTGCTATGTCCTGCTGTTATATTTGATGTTTGCAGAATTACAATGCAAAACTCTCTGATTTTGGGTTAGCTAGGGATGGGCCAACTGGTGACAGGAGCCATGTTTCTACTAGGGTCATGGGAACCTATGGATATGCTGCTCCAGAGTATCTAGCCACAGGTATTGCTCCCAGCTTGGTTTTCTTCTGTAAATACTTATACTATGTCAATCTGTTTGGCTTTTATTTTCCGCTTGTTCCCTCTATCTACAACTTTTCTCTAGATGCTCTGTAATTGTATTGGATCTATGTACTACCCTTTTTACTTACTTTTTTTCTCCTTTTTTATTCTATTCTCATTTTCTTTTAATGAATTTCTACTCTTTACTCGACATGTTTGTCATAAAAATAAACTACTGTATGCCTCTTTCATAATGCATGGAGAAGGGTTCCTAGTCTTTTTGACGCAGTTATGCAGTTTTTCATTTACCTTCTGATTAAGTAACATTTTATCTAAACTCAACTGTGGTTTCCACTGGGAACAAAAGAAAATAGAAAAAAACTACTAAAAAAAAGCCCCAGATTTTGATTTTAACAAGTTCTGCCATGAAATGCAGCCCATGGATGTATTACTATCAGTAATTTTTGAATATCCAATGGCTGTATTATGATCAAAAAAAGAAAATTTATCTTTATGCATATGTAGCCATTTTCAGCTGTTACATATCTATTCGATTCCCATTGCATTTAGCTATTTGTTAGTGGATCATATGAAATGAAGTTGATATACTCTGAGTACTGATATCAACTTAATTTTCTATCGGAAAGGTCATTTGAATGCCAAGAGCGACATATACAGCTTTGGAGTTGTTCTTCTAGAAATATTGTCTGGTCGACGAGCTATTGACAAGAACAGGCCATCTGGAGAACACAATCTGGTGGAGTGGGCAAAACCTTATCTGACCAATAAACGGAGAACATTCCGTGTACTAGACACCCGTCTCCAAGGCCAGTATTCATTGAATCGGGCCCAAAATGCAGCTAACCTTGCACTTCAGTGCTTAGCTGTAGAACCCAAGTTCAGGCCAAGCATGGATGAGGTGGTAACAGCGCTTGAGCAGCTTCAGGAGCCAGATGACATGCCAAAAAGCATTCAGAAGGAACCTCACGTAAATGCTCGCAACCATTCCAATAGTAAACCAACCACTTATCCAAAGCCTTCTGCTTCACCGCTTCATGTTTAGATGAAAACCTTTTGATGCAGCAGCAATTTCTTTCCTGATTTGAACTTCCATAGGAATTGTTTCGGGGATATAGGCAGGTGACAAATCCATGTTTGAGTGGTGTACAGTTCTTTTAAATCTAGCTCTGAAATTTATCAACCCCAGATCAGAGAGGATGCATGAACATGATCTGGGTTTTGCTAAATTTCATACCATCATGTTTGAAAAAGTGAAGAATATATGTTCAAGTTTGCATGAAGATGTTTTCAACCTTATTTCAGGTTTTCTTTGGGGTTTTTTGTTCCTTTTTTCCCCCTAGTAAATGGTCTTGTATGCCAATGTAATTTAGCTCATTTCAGAAACAATGTAAGAATCTTCATTTTGTTCTAGTCCATATGATATTTTGAGACGTATCTCTTTTCACAATTAGTTCAAGTTCTACTCTCCTTCACACTAAAGATCAAATTCTCTATTCTTTCCAAACTTTTGTTGGACTAAGCCGACAGATTGGTGAGCTGCATGTACATATGAATTTTTTTTCTTTGAACATGGAAAAAGAGACAAATTTAGGCTGTCAGGAGAAAACTTCTAGGCCTTTACTTGATTTTAATGAATGTGTGCAGAGGTTCCAACTTCCAAGAAGACTTCGCTTTTACACATTTTTCCCCTTCTTAGACCGAATGGTTTCATGTTCTCAAGGCATATTGGCATTTCCAACTTGTCAATAAAATAAATGGATTGGCAAAGGGAAGTCATCTCCATGGCATTATCTTTTTCAATATGAGGGCAGTTGGTAAACCATTTTTCCTGCATTTTACTGGGTAATAGCTACTATAATACATGTAAGAACTCAACGAAATGGTCTCTCTTTGCTTCATTGCTCGTATGGTTGAAATTATCTGTAGACAGCTAAGATATACAGTAAACAGTTGAAAACGCGTGTAAGAAATACATCTCCATTTTCTCTTTCAATCAATTTTTATTAGTATTCTACTTAGCGTAAGATAAAGAAAACATTCTAAGACCCAGTCAATTGTTTGTCCATCTAATATATGGAACAGCGACAAATGAGTTTTGTCATTAACAAGCTAGCAAATTAAATGCAAATGTTGTGTCATTTTCAATTCATACATGAAATCAAGAATTTACTTGAAGAATACGAGTGGAAGGATTAGAAGGGACATGAAGAAATGAGTGAAGAAAGGGTTAAAAGAATTGGAAAAGAAACGGAAATTGAGAAATGGGGTGGTAGATAATGGTGATTGGTTGTGCAGAAACATCTATGGAGTTGACATTCTTGTTGAAGCATAAAACAGGGCGAGACTTTCCAGAAAAAGTCTTTACAAGATTCGGATGAAAACAGGGAGACTCCCTATCAGTTGAACAAGATCAACTATCCTTCTGTCAAGTGAGAGAGATGGCTAGATGTAAGAAACTAGTTATCTGGTTGGTTGGCATCAAAGACAAAGGTTGTCTTGGTTCTTTTTGGCATTTTCCGAGTTTCATGTTTACGAACTTAAAAAATCTGTATTACTATATTTGAATGAATGGTGCATTTTCTTATCTTTTCTGAATTCGTATATTGATGCATATGTATTTGTACGGTTTACTCCAATATGGAATCATGAACCAAAGAGCTATGTAGATCTGAAGGTGAATTTTACTTGAACATAACCAATACTTGATGTCTCAACGGAATAGAAAACAAACCAATCAAGACCACATATGCAAGACAAGCACAAATACTCCAAGGATGTTCTAACGAGGGAAACGACCCAAGTTTCCTTTCTTATTTATTTATTTATTTTATCTTTCAGTTCCCTTTTTCCCCCCAGTGATTCTTTTCACTTTTTTCCTATCTTTTCCTACTTAGTAGTTTCTTTTCTACCAAGGTTGAAGGCGATAAGGAATAGTAATTCATAACTTTTTTACTCTTTCCATTTTTCCTTTCTTTTCCAACCATGAATATGATTGCTGGCACTTGGTATTGCAGGATAAATCTAAAGGATGTTTTGTCCTTGAGTGCAGAGACAGGGCAAGCTGAAACTTCGACGCGTGAAGTAAAGGTTGTCCTTCCTGATAAGAACATAGCATGCTGGAGAGATTTCAGTTGCAGAAACTTTAGTGCAAATGATTCACTAGCAACACTTCATTTACAAGATATGTTCTGCTATTAATTTTACTTTCAACGAACATGAAAACTTAATTTGAGAACAGCTGATCAAACCAATTTTTAACTGTTAATTCCGAAAAACAACTCCCCCCTAATCATCATCAGATGCTGTATATAATACACAATCTACGAACTGAACACGAGTTTGATAGATATACCGTTAAAATAGCTGATACAAACTTGACAGCACTTTTCCACCGAAAATGTACAAATGAAGATAAGAGATGGAGAAATTTTGGTGACATACTGGTTCCAAGACAGCTCATCGGCCCAACAGCACAACCCGATCCTTCAGCAATGCCTGTGTCAGGTTGATGTCAAAAAGTTCACACCGTATTGGCATCTCCATCTCATAGAACGGATTCTTCAAAACATAATCTGTGCAGAGCTCATAGATGACTTTCAAGAGAGCATCCATACACTGTGTCCCAGGCTCACAGACCACAAAGAACTTTGTCCCTGTATATCAGAATAATACAAATATTTGTAAAATCAAAATTGTACATAGTGTCCACAAAATCATGGTTTAGGAAACATGTATGTGAGAGTCCGTTCCAAAATTTTACAACCTATGTTTGCAAAATGCCATTTCACGTCAAATGCGAGAACAAGAGATCTATTTAGCATAAATTGTCACTGGACCGACAAAGAGATATGAGTAATCAAGCCTTAAAGCTTGCCAATTCTCTGACAATACGATCACGAGGGTTAAACTTATCATTAAAAAGTTCTCACCTTTGATCATCTCAACATATTAAAGTTCAACCCAACGTCTTCTGATATAGATGTCCACTTTGGTTTCCTCTACAACGTGTTTATCATGTTACTCTTTATCCTTTTCACACGGCTTGAAGGAAGGGGTTTATATGAAGAACTAAAGGATTCCACAATAAGTAGATGTGCCCTACAAAGATTAATTTTTAAAACAGTCACAGAATATAAAACGTAGTGAATTTTATATTTCAAGTAACCAGATAGGGGTAACAAGTTTCACAAAGCAGCACAAACCAGATCTAAAACAGATTCCTCCCTTCCAATTGGTAAGACTTAACTAACCTACATATATCACTAATGGCACAATCAGACATAATGAATTTATTTTGATAGTAACATCCTATCTTCAAGTTGAAGCGCAAACAATTTCTCAACAAGCATTCATTAGAACACTTCTAGTATTTTGGTTTTAAGCTTTGAGCTAGAGGAAAAGCAAGCACCACAAAATTTGAAGCAAATACTTAAAATAAAGAGGCATGGCCTACTTCATCTAAAACATATTATGCAAGCTTCATATATTTATATAAGCATCAAATATAAGTAAATTTCCATAAAAATTTCATTTTCAATTCATCATCTTACATTTAGGCACAAAATAGGGCAAAATTAATCTGCGTTTTTTTGCATCTCCTAGAATTTAAACAATGGCCGAACAAATTCTACAACTTTCAGTCAACTGAGTGGGAAAATCAGATCTATAAATCAGTTTCTTCCAATTCTACTTTCAAACTTCAAATTTCCCCAATAATTAAAACTAAATAATAATAATAATAATTGATATTTCAAGAAAAAAATTACCAGTAAGGGATTGAAAACAGTGGAGATCAAATGTATCAGCTTCAAGCAGCTCAATTCCCGAACAACCAGTGGTAGGCGATAACTGATGTGAGATTGCGTCCATTGAATGCCATAAACTAGCCACTCTCAAGCTATCATTCGTATCCATGCGTCCCTTTGATCCATAATCCTTTAAAAAAAAACATTTTACCAAATATTCCCGAGAAACAAACAGAAAATGTTTCAAAGTAAAATGATACCTTATAGAAGATCAAACCTCCTGATTTGTCGATTATGTAAATACTGTAAATCGCCGCCATTATCAAGGGAATCAAATTCAAAACCCTAAAGCTTGTTGCTCGGAAATAACTGCTAGTGTTCCGTTTACCTTTTTGATTTGGGAATTGCTGAGTCGTTTTCGGTTTTTTAATTTCCAAATTTGTTTTGACGTTTTTGCCCTTACTTTACAACCAATTTACTGTTAAATTGCATCAGTCTTGGCTCCAATATCGCCACGTATGACAGCAAGGATGCTTTCGTAAATTGAAATGAAAATCCAGTGCGTTTTGGGAAGAAAAAGAAAATTATAAATACTAACGAAAACTTTTGGTAGGGAGAACTCACCAGCTGGGAGAAATGGCGGTGATGGAGAGTTCGAAAGCATCGGTGCAGATCAACGGTTTGAGATTCACGTATCCTGGAATAGATGGTCATCCACCGCCGGGATCCACTCCTCTTATCGATGATTTCTCTCTCACTCTCAACGCTGGCGATCGGTGTCTCCTCGTCGGATCCAATGGCGCCGGTTAGTTAGTTCCTATAAACGAGCAAATCAAGGAAAGTAAAATAATAAAATTCAAATTTTATTTATTTATTTATTTATTGTTAATTTGTTTCAATGAATGATAGGGAAAACAACGATATTGAAGATACTGGGCGGGAAGCACATGGTGGAACCGCACATGGTTCGGGTGTTGGGAAGATCAGCTTTCCACGACACCGTTTTGACTTCCTCGGGTGATCTTTGCTATCTTGGAGGAGAGGTCTGTTAAATGTTTTCCTTTTTTGTTCTTTTAGTATTTCCTTTAAGTTAGAATTATGGGAAATCTTGTTAATGTCAAGAAGTTAAGATCATTTTATCTTATAATAGTTGAATGAACTAAAAACTGTGTCATTGAGACATAATTAGGGGAAAATGTAACTTTCCTTCGCATCAAGAGGGGAAATTATGGGAAAAGTTATTTCTTTGGCTTTTTTTTTAATTGCACCGAATATATGTCAAAGGAATTGCAAGTTATTCGATGTATTCGTTGGTGGTGTATTGTTGTAGAAATTTTCTTTTAAGTTAAACTAAATGAGGGTTTTCTTTTACAGTGGAGGCGTGATGTTGCTTTCGCAGGATTTGATGTTCCAATTCAAATGGATGTTTCTGCTGAGAAAATGATTTTTGGAGTTGCAGGTATTGATCCCCAAAGAAGAGCCGAACTAATCAAGGTATGCACTTTTTAGAGGTATTGTTGATGCAGCATATGAAAGCGAGAAGAGAGGTAGTTTCTGATATTTCATTATTCCCCATATGAATGACTCGAGAAAACTGGGTAGAAATTACAATAATTTGGCTAAGCATGTAAGAAAATGAATAAGCACACTAACTTCAGTTAAGTAACCAGATATTTTCTTGAGATGCAAAGTGACATTTAAATTTACTTGTATTTATGATTTAAAAATCCTCTGGCTTGCTTTTTGCTGTAGGTATTAGATATTGATCTCTCATGGAGGTTGCACAAGGTATCTGATGGTCAGAGAAGACGCATCCAAATTTGTATGGGTCTCCTCAAGCCATTCAAGGTATTCTCAATTTTCTAGATGGTGGTAATGTTTTCAATGCTTCCACTGTCTGATCTTCTGCGGTGCTTGGACTTTTTCTCCTTCCACAAGGAAGTGCAGAAGTTTTGATATCAAGTTTTCATTTTTTTCTCTAGTTAAGTTGTTGCTGAAGTCTGCTTCCTTGTTTGTATAGGTTCTTCTACTTGATGAGATAACAGTTGACCTTGATGTGCTTGCAAGGGCTGACCTTCTGAATTTCCTTAGAAAGGAATGTGAAGAGCGAGGTGCCACAATCATCTACGCAACACATATATTTGATGGTCTAGAAAAGTGGCCATCACATATTGTCTGTCTCAGTTCCTTTCTTAAAACTGCATGTCTCTCAAAATGAATTTGTAAATTGATCATCTATATAGTATAGCTTCTTAATGACAAAATCCCTCATCTTTGTTTCAGGTTTATGTGGCTCATGGGAAATTGCAATTAGCAATGCCAATGGACAAGGTTAAGGAGATTAGCAATTTGTCACTAATGGTTAGTGTTCCTGGTAGAAGCTTGAAATGTCCTTTGGTTATGACTTATGAGTGAAGCTCATTGAAGATTGTCTGTTTATCAGCTATTGAAATGAACCTATTTTCTTAATTATATGTTTATCAGCTACTGAAGAGTACTTGTTAGCCTTAGTTCTTTGGATTTATAATGCCTTATTGGTTTTAATTTGCAGAGAACAGTAGAGCGCTGGCTGAGAGAAGAAAGAGATGAAGAGAGAAAGAAAAGAAAAGAGTGGAAAGCATGTGGCCTTCCAGAATTTGAAAACCAGATTAAGGGAAGCCGTGTGACAGGGGATCCAGCGCAAGCTGCTGTGCGTGCATTGAACAACGGCTGGGCTGCAGGAAGGATGCACTCCACAGTTGCTGGTGAAGAAAACTTTCTCTTCAGCTCAAACAGAGTTTTAAGGCAATAGATGAACTCAACTAGGAACGAGTTCTTTGAGCTTACCCTAGGTACTGTTACAATAATAAGCTTAGAGATTCTCAACATTCTCTTGCCTAGGCTTTTGTTCAGCAGAGCATCAGAAAGGAAATATGTCCATCATTGTTTGTGCTTGCAAGAAGCCAAGAAATAATAGCCGAGAGTCCAATCAGGTACACCGGTTCCTGATTTGTTGTATTATATCTCATCGTTAAGGCTGTGTAACGTGAGCGTATAGGGTCAAGCATAGCTAGTATCATCTGATTTATCCAATATGAAAAAGTTCATTAATAAAGCCAAAGATTTTGTGCCTTTTAATAATCTCAATGACAGAAGGGTAGACAGTGAGACTGAAATCTGCTTCCTATCCCTCTGTAAGGGATGATGTCCATCCTCTTGTGATCGAGAGGAAGCCGATCGTTTGCCCGTCTTTCTGTTTAAACATGGATTGTTTGGTTATATTCTTTAGAGCTACGTATCAAACGAGCCGTCTTAGCTCAGCCGGTAGAGCGCGTGGCTTTTAACCACGTGGTCGTGGGTTCGATTCCCACAGACGGCGCTTTTGGTGCGTACTCCCTTTTTCCTCTCCTTTTTTATTTTTCAGTTTTACACGTGTGTGCGGAAACTAAAGCCCACGATCAAACCCAATTCAGGCCCATTTTACCCACAATATTCTCTCACAAGATGTAATTTGTTATTTTGATCAAAATCCCAATCCCTTGCAAATTGCCATCCAACCAAAATGTTATTCTATTCTATAAAAGCAATTCTCTAACGCAAAATTGTACAACTTGCAGGGCACATCGAACCTTAAGTAAAAGCCAATTCTCCATTGGCAGAAATTTGTTTGCAAAGTATTATAGTGATGAACCGATAGGATTCCTCAATCCCAAGCATAGATAATGATAGTTTTTGGTACATATTCCATTTCCATTACTGCTTGTCTCTCTGCAAACATCTCCAATTGTATGTATAAATATATATATATATATATATTCTTTCACTATTTAAAAAAGAGATAATGATATGAATATACTTTGAATTATAATAAAATATTTAATACGATAGTTAAATTTTAAAAATTTTTAATATATGAGTTATAAATTTATTCATTAATATAATACTTTGAGAGTTATTTTTTTTTATCATATATCATTATTTGGAATTAACAACATTAAAATTAAAAGTGAGTATCATATTAATTAATAAATTTACAATCTAAATATTACATTAAATATTTTTAAAATTTAGATATCATATTAAATACTTCATTATAATTCAAAAATTATTTATTATATTAACTTTAAAATAACTTTTATGCAAAACAAATGCTTTTTGTATACTTTGTTCTTGAATTCTTCTTCACTTGCTAGTTTAACCGACTAAGGCTATAGTTTCTATCTCAAGACTCAATGGCGTTATCTAAAAAGATTGAATTGTGACAGATTGTGGGTGGGGTACAAATGCGAAGTATCCATTTCCTCCACCTAATCCATTTTTCCTTAAAAGCTTTCTTTTTTTCATAAAAAAAAAACCACAAAATAAGAATAAATAAAAGAATTGTAATTACTAAAATTTATGATGATATAATAAATAAAATTAAATAGTACTACTAATTTATAGAACAGGGTTTTGCCAATTTTGTCAAGTTTGGAATCCTAACTTGGTCTAAACTCCACCGGCCTATGGTTTACCTAAAGGGACATACAACATGATATTTTCTTTGAAAAATAATTTTAAAAAAAAAAACACCATTTCTCTGGGAAAATCAGTGATGTTAAGAAAAGCATCATTACAGTCACTACCCTCTAGAATGCAAAACAACGGCACCAAGCAGGGTCAAAACATTCGGATGGTAGTGCAATTTAGACATGGCCAAAGTATCCTTTCACTGATTTTAGGATGATTGCTTTAATATTTTCTTGTCAAGCGAGCAAGGGAAGCATATGTTTGGTTTTAAATTTGGTACATTATTATTAGTGGCAGAGACTCACAGGAGGGAAATAATACCTCAAATGGACCTTTCTTTTTCTAGATCTGGAATGTGATGTCCATCGGAAAAGCCCACATTGTTGATCACAGTTGCCATCCAACAAGACGAGAAACAAATGCTCTTTAATTATATCATAGAGACAGAAGAAGCTGAAAGCAATCAACTCTTTAAACGAGTTGTTAACAAGTTGAGAACATGAAGGTCATAGTTCAAAAAATTTTGTCATATGAAATTGTTTTAGTTTATTATACCTGCATAATATTTTGATCATTCATTTTCTAAGTTCTTATTAGTTAGTCCTTTAGATCGATTGGAGGAAAGGTTAAGTTTAGAAAAAATGAGTATTAAAAGAAAAAAAAAAGGAAATTAATGAGTTGGTTTGCCAATTTTAGAAGAATTGAACCTCTGCCCTCGCTATACAACTTCAAAAGTTGAACCGTAAAAAGGATGTTTGGGCGCTGAGAGAAAATGATTGTGCTATGCTATTGCTACCCTGAGTAAAAAACCAAAGGCAATGAAACATGAAAAGACGTGAGGGAATGCCAATTATCAAGGGCACCAAACAAGGTGGAAACCCAAGGGTGGAGCCATGGGAAGATGAAAAACAATAAAAGGAAAAGATAAATAGACAGCACCAGCAGAGTGACAGTCTAGCATCACATGGTCTTTCTGCACTATCCACCGACCTGTGTACTTTATGGAAGGCCTACTTTCCAGTTACCTTTTATGGATGCCTAGCTTCAAATACTTTTCTCAATTCCTTCAATATGGTCATAACTACTACATTACATTCATTGATGTTTGAAGGGTGCAAAATCAAATTGAGACAAATGGAACAAGCAAATACATTAATATAGTAGAAGAAAGTACCGTATTACATTTATATAGTAGCAGTAAAAATGGAAAATTACTATATGACCAAGAGCTGCGGGCCACATGCTTTCTTTGATTTGCAGCCGCTTCAGCTCCCCCTTGCAACCTTTTCACCATTGGCTGGATTTTTTACTATTACCACCAGCTCAATGACAAACAAAAGAAAAAAATAAAAAAGTTACCACACATAGTTTACTTTTAGTCACTTTCCTATCTGTTACTTTCTTTGCCGTAAATCCTACCAAAAACCCCATTTTGACCACATTTTTACTTTTACCCACCCCACCCACCACATCGAATTTTCCGGGGAAAATAAAGGAAAATTGAAGGGCGGGAAACAAAGATTAAAAAGAAAAGGTTAATTAAAGAAGTGACAATAAAAATTGAAGGAAAGAGGGGGAACTGTGACTGTCTGTCTTTCAATAGCGAAAATTCTTTCCCATGAAGGTTTGGCCGAACTGCCAATTAGCTGGTGCCACGTTCCAGGAGGTGGAAGTTCGTTTATCACTGCCCAATACTCTAAACGAGAGTGCCTGGCCCACCAAAACGGCGTTTGACTGCCAGTTCTGACCCCAGTTACGGCTCATGCTCAACCAAGCAGTTTTGGTTCCTTTAACGCTAACCTTCACGATATCCCCTGCTCCCGCGACGTTGGTGACCAAAACCAAGTTGAAGTAACGAAATCCGTTGACGGTGAATCTGATTCCCCCTCGCTTTCGGCACGGCACTCTGGAAAAATTATTAATTAACCGCGGTAAAAAATAAATAAATAAATAAGAAGGATAATAATGGAAATTAAAAACTTTAAAGCACTCTTTTTTCCGCATTGGTGCGAGTAGCCGAACCCACGCGTGGGATGTCGTGAAATTTGTCGTTCGGGTTCTCTGATTTTCCGGAAAATCTTAGTGACCCTTACATTTACAATACTAACTGGGCAGCCTTTTTATTTTAACGCCCATTGGGAAAAAAGAGAGGTAGCTTTAAAGCAAGGTTGTTTCGGTCACACTATGGATCAAATCTGGATTGATTCTCAAAATCTAAACGAACATCAGGCTTAATGATCTCACAGAAGGGCGATTCATTTGAGCCCCAGTGTTGGCATTTCGAAGAAAGTGATGGAAAAAACCAATTTTTAAAAATAATACAAAATTTAGAAAAAAAACTGTTTGGTTCCTAAGAAAACGGGGAACAGGAAAATTCAGCAGAAATGCACAATCTACATATACACGTAATATAAGAAATATCCTTTTTTACCCACATTTATGATTTAACATTTAAATACGCAGAGGAGAGATTTTGGCGACTCACCTTCGGAAAGAGACAGGGACAATACCAGCACGGTACTCAGCGATCTTGAGGAACATAGGCATGGCAAGGTCAAAGTGAGGGCGTGGTGGGTTGCACCAGCCGCCATTGTCACTTGGGAGAGCATAGTTAGGAGGGCAAAAGTTAGTTGCAGTGACAAAAATGGAAGGGCTGCCAGGGTGACACCACCTTGGATCATTTGCACACTTAATCTCAAAGCAAGCACCACAGCTGAGGCCGTTGTTGAAAAGTGCTGTGCTTAAAGCTGCTGTGTTCACCCCATAACCTTGACTGTAGAGATTCCCATACCCACATGCACCGCCTAAACAAAAAAAAAAAAAAAAGAAACAAATTTTCAGAACATTTCCATGGTTTTGTGGAATGTATAGCAAAAGGATGGTAAATCTGAGTTATTTCCTTTGAATGCATGTTAAAAATGGGTTTTTTTAATGACTCTATAAGTGAATGAAGGCAGCCCCAAAACAGAACAAGGCCTCAGGGCAAGAAAACTATACTAATTGTAGAAAATTATGGTTAAAGTTAGGATTACAGGATGAGAAGCAAATACCCATTGTTCCAGAAGCATCACTGCCACCATAAAAGGTAGCATGGGCGGTTTCCCAAGAGCCACCAGAGTAAACTCCAGGGATTCTTGCATTCACCACAGCCAAAAAGGACAGTAATGAAGCAAAGCAGAGCACACTCAAGGAAGAAGTAGCAGCAGCCATTGTTTTCTTTTTCAAAGAGAAAAAAGAAGAAAAATATAGAAAGAGGGAGAAATGGTGGTTTGTTAATTTAGGGGCGAATGGAAAGCGAGAAGAAGGTGGGGGTACTTATTGAGGAGCTGAAAGGGTTAGGAGGTTGAAAAGGGAATCAGAAGTTTTTTCTGGGTTGGCCCAATAAAAATTATTACCACACGTAATTAATGCAATTTGCTTGTCTATTTCTCATAGATCCATTTTGGTAAAATTAACTGGAACCTCACTACTTTTTTTTCTTAGGTAATGTTTGGTTTTATCTTTTAAGCTCCAAGCTAGGGAATACCATGTGCCTCACACATGGGCAGTTCATATTAATTTTTATTCGGGGTACATTCTATGGCGGTAAGATTAGTTTTTATAAAATTAAAAATAATAATTATGGTGATATTAATTATTGTAATAATAATATTATATGTATTTAAATATAAATATAATGGATAATTATAAAATTAAATATAATAATTGATTATTAGATCAAAAGTAATAAATTTATAATTAAAATATATCTTCTATTTAAATTTTATATCAAGGCAAGTAAACCATAAACTCTTTTTCCTCTGATCACCAACTAAAGAGACAGTAAACACAATTGCACCGTTGTATGCTTACCTAAATGCATCGTAAACTACTGTAATAGAATCTAAATGGGGCCTCAATAAAAGATTTGGGCAAAGGTTTAAGACCTAATCAAAAACAATTGGAAAGTTTGCATTTGCATAATTGAACTAAGTTATGAGAGAGAATGAAGTGTGAATTTTTAGGGTTTTGTTTCATACTAATGTAGTGGGAATTTTAAACATCTTTTAAACCGAGGATTGATTGTTGGGATTTTTGGGTTTTTATTTCACATTAAACCTTTCTTTTTTATATACCTTTTGAGCATCTTTGATTTGGATATTTCTTCTTTAGTTGAGGAATTTATATCCACTATTGAATTGAGACTTTTTTTTTTTTTCCTCTCTTTTGAAGGACCTCTCCTATGATCTTTATTCTTTGACTACCGACTTGGGGACGGTCTCATCGACTTCATTTTGAAAAGGAATAAAGTTAAATGCACAAAAAAAAAAAAATGTCGGTTGATAGTTGAGATGTAACGATATTATTTAAAATGTATTTTTATAAAAATACATTTTTTAAAGAAATTTCCCACTCTTAAAAAAAATTATTATCATATTTTTACTCTTAATTTCATCGTCTCTTTTAAAATATATTTTTTCAAAACACCTAATTGTGGATGACCAAATTATAGTTTTCTAAAAATCAACTACAGAATTTATTTTTGTTAAATTATGGTTTTTTTTTTATTTTTGTAATTTTAAAGTGTGATACCTACTAAAATTGATTTAAACTTTTCAATGAATTAAAGAAAGAGTTAGTTTTCACCTATATTTTCCCCAAACTTGATAATGAGTTTAATGAATCAACTTGAAGAGGTAACTCCAACTCCAATAATATTCCATTTTACCCCATCAATTATCCCTCAACTTGCTACAACTTGAAATTAAATCTTTTTACATTTCATCTTAAAAGTAAAATAATCAAAATACTGTTAAAATGTAAAAGGGTTGAGCATAAAGTTCAATTTTTTTGGTAAAAAAAATAATTAAAAGTATTAAATTTTGAATTTAAAATTTATTGAATGTTATATTTAAAAATAATTATACAAATTAATTAAATTATTATGAATTATATTAAATTTTAATAATATGTAAATTTCATCTGATATGTTTTTATGCACATTAACAATTATTTTATTATAATTATAATTTTTATTAAAACATGAAATTTCATCAGAAAAAAGTACACCCAATTGTCACTTCGCTTCAAATGCAAGCTAGGATCCAACTAAATTTTGTCTTCATTGTCCCTCCCTCTTTGGCATAAAATAAAACCTAAGTAATAATAATTCTAAAAACAAAAGAAAGAAAAGAAAAACTAAAAAGTAAGAAAAAGGAGAAAGTGAATACCTTAAGCAAGGAGTCGCAATAAGGAAAGTGAACTAAACCCAAAAACAAGAGTAAAAAGAGTAAAAAGAGTAAAGATAAGACTAAAAACAAGTGGTGGAAGGAAAGGGAAACCGCGTTAACTGGTGAGGAGTGGGGACCAAAGCTCGTCCTTATATGCGTATAATCAAGCCGAAGCCGAAGCCGAAGCCAATAGAGTCCCATGCATGGCTATTGCCTGCTGGGCTCTAACCGGGGGCGGGACCCATCGCCAGCCCTTCCCTTGTCCTTACGTTTCTCTCTCTCTCTCTCTCTCTCTCTCTCTCTCTCTCTGCGACTCAACACCATGTTCAGTTGTTTGTTAGTGGCATCCACAGCCACGAAAGCCTTTTTTTTTTTTTTTATTGCTAGAAAAATATTTTTAAGATATAAAATATGTTACCTTTTAAAAGAGATATTAAATATAAGTAGTTCATAAATTAAGAATAAAATTAAAGTATTTTAATCAATATTTAAGATTAAATTAATGTCTTTTTGACAAAAAATATTATTATTCACTAAAAATGATATCAAGAAATGTAAAAAACTATTTTGTATATTCATTGTGGATAAATACCAAGTTACTAAAACCTTGTTTCTAGATCAAATTTTAAGAAAATTTTTACCTGCGACAAGTTTGTGAACACTATTTTTCTATTAAGAAAAAAAGCTTATCATTTGTAAAGAAAATATTAAGAGGTTTGTAATTCATGACTAATTTTAATTTTCCTCGAACTTATTTTGATTTTTTATTCACATAGAATACCTCACATGCCCCATGGTGAAGAAATGGATTCAATTAAACATTGAGCTTAGAGCTAAGAACATTCTTTAATGGCTAACTTAAGGTGATTTGGATTCATGCCTAAATGATTAGTTTTTGTGGGATTGATATTTTCATTCTTTTTTAAAGGAAGGGTGATGAAGAAATTAGTGCTTTGTTACAAAGGTTTTTTGCATTTTTTAAGGAATTTTGCGTGAGTGCTTGCACATGAGTTACAAGCTCTCCCTTTTGGCTATTTCTTTCTATCTCAGTTTTAGTTTTAAAAGTTCTTAATTGTATATAATTATTTATAGTGACATAAGTTAGTATATTTCATAGTTCTTACAATACCGTTGATCCTTTGCATAAGAATTCTTATGAAATTATAAAACTGATCATTGATATACTGATAAAAAAAAGTTATTGTACCAAAGAATATTGAAAATAACCTACTGTAGTAAAATGCATAGTTCTATAAAAGTCAGGCCACTTATTCGATGTTCAAAAGGCGCTTAGTCTTAAAAACTAGGTTAGAATACCTTAGTTTTACGCCTGGTCTATAAACTGCTTATATTTAGTATTCTTCTTATCTTTTATAAGCCTTGCAGTTACTTAATAGATGAACCCCAGTACTTTCCATGTACGACAATTTATACCTCACAAGGTTATTCATTATCAGATTCCATGTTTGATCACCCCTAAGAGTACATAAAGTTTCAAAGATGAATTTGTGAAATCAATCAAAAAAATCCTCTTTAGATTTGGCCAAAACTCCAATATGATGTTTCATAAGGTAATTGCCCCATAAACTATAACTTTCAACTCAAAATTGACAAAAAGATTTGTGAGACTAAACATAAAGGTGCATGGCAAAAACCTCTTCCTAAAGATACAAGGTATAAACTTGATCATGTTGGTCCAGTTGAATGGAACCCATATTGAAAACCTCTTGAAATCATTAAGGAATCAGACTTGTAAAACTTTAAGGATATATTTGACTTAAATGATGATTTTGACACTGACAAATAAATAGAAAACTTTGGTTATGACTTTATTCTAAGTGTAGACAACTCCCATCTTAATCTCTTTCTAAAGAATTTCTTTCAGCACTCCCTATTTAAATGATGCTCAAAATCTTTCCTGCTCCAATCCAATATATGTATAATTATTTGCGACTTTGTTCAGTGTGCAAGTTTGTTTATTTCTCAAAACAAGTGACAGATGGTGACAATAGTCTTTACATCAGCTCTAGGATCAGGACCCTACATCATGTCATATTGTCAACTTTATTAAAACTATTTTGGTAAAGGAGATTCCCTTGACTTTATTAAAGTTACCTTACTAGTTTGTTTGTATTGCTTTATATCTTTGTCATGGACCCCCTTAGTTATATCAGGTCATGTTCATTTACTTGTCAATGCTTATATAAGTTGTAACTTCTTCATAAAGAATGCACCACTTGAAAAGTTCTCTTATAAGAAAATCCTCTCTCGTGAAATATAAAGCTGAGTTTTTTTTTTACCAATTCAAAACCACTTTTGTAGGAGAAATTCTTTTTTGGTTTCCTTTTTCGATTGTATTTCAAAAATATTTCAATTATATCCATTTTGCATATCCTAATTAGTAGGGATGAAATAAATCTTAAGAAAAATAACATTTGCGACATGTCTTAAAGTTATTTTTTATACATTTTTAAAGATTCCATCTTTGATTCATCATAAAGTACAAAAGAACAAGAAGAATTCAAGACCTTTTCAAGCACAAGTCATTTGTTTTCATAGCCTTGTAAATAACATTTATTTGTTGCACACAAAAATTAATAAAGACACCCTTTCTTGCTATGTCTTCCCCTTAAAAAAGAACAGGTTGTCTTTGTTGTTTTAAGGCGAAAAGTCTTGCACATTTCAATATATATCACAAATTCATTTTTTATTGTATATTTTTTTATAATAATTTTAAAAAAATGAATTTTAAAGTAAATTTTATTTGATTTAAATTAACATAAACTATTAAAAATTTTTAATAAGCTTAATTTTTAAAATGTCAAATATTTTAAAAATTAAATTATTAATTGAATAGGTGTATTAAAAAAGAAGAAGATTGGAAATGGACATATAATATTCTTTATAATTCTTAATATATAGGAAATTAATTTTTTTAAAAATATAAATTTTAAATGGTGTAAATAATTTTTAAAAAGAGTAAATTTTGAAATAAATTTAATTGTATTTAAATTAGAGTTAATAGCATGCGTGGTCTCTAAACTTTGGACCTGATTCTATAGTGGTCCCTAAATTTTAAAAATTTTAATTGAGTCCTTAATTGCCTAAACTTG